CATGTAACTCTCAGGGTGGAAATAGTGGYAACGTAAACATACAATTTGCTGTTGTAATTACTAAGAATTCCAAAATAGCACGAAAAGTTRAATTTAAATTTAACCGAATTTCAGATTTTACTAAAATTGGCAATGGAATAATTAGGCATGTGATTAGTATGTAGGTTATGTGAACTAGAAATAAGTAAATTGGGGTATTTTGGGAATGATTTTTTTTTTGCTATATATCACAGATGTTTACATAAAGTCTTWTTAATAAAACTATAAGCAACACACTCGATAATTATCGGATAAAATTCCATAGAAAAAATATTTTTACAAGCGGCTGTTGAATAAGATATGTATGTACTTTTTTTTTAAAGAAATATATTGATTTTTGCTTTAAAATATTTAAATATTAGAGTTTTTTGGTAATTATTATATTAATAGGCGAATGTTGTGTTTCGCCTCGTTTTTAGAAAATTTAATATATGTAACATATGTATGTATATGGTTTTAAAGTGTGCCATAGAATTGTTTTTAGCCAACACCTACCCTCTTCATACAATAATTATCAAACTATTTGCATGGTAATTATTCGAACTATTTCAAATTTTATTTTACTAATTATCTATTACTTCTAAAAGGTTTTAACTACCATACGGCTTAAGCATAATCTTGAAAAGTTTATAAAATATTTCAAGAGTGATTTTGCAATTAAATGGTAATAGGAAACTTCGACTAGGTTTGAATATTAACTATGTAATATGTTCCTGTTCGATTTAGAGTTCCAAATTTAGAAAATTGGAAATATYATGAGCCTGAATATACCCTTAAATATTTAGAAATAATTTCAAGTTTAGGAAATTTGGAATATAGAAGAAATTCTCAATTTTCTAAACTTCTAACTCAAAATTGAAATTAATTTTGAAATATATGGAGAATAGAATGAAATTCCCAAATTTCGAAACTTGAAARTCTAAATCGAATTTTATTTCGAAATATTTAAGGGTACACTGGGGTTCAGACAAAAAAAAGTAGTATTATTAAATATTACTACATATGAAATCTAAAACAACAGTGTTTTTTGGAAAATGTTTTTGGAAAAAGGATCAAAAGCATGCAGCTAATTGAATTCATCAAGAATGGATTGTCAGCAAGACCTAGTCTGAGTGTGAGAATTTTTCAGACAAAAAATTTTTTAACTTGGTGTAATCGGATTTTACATCCACATTTGAGTTTCAAAAAAAATATATTTTTTATTTAATATCGAATATGCATATATTTGAAATTTTTTCGAAAATTCGAAGTTGGTTCSGCAAATAGTTTTAGACATATGAGAGCTTTTGTAAGAATTTTTTTTAATGTAATTAAAGCATTCGGCTCTGGAGACCGCTAGACGGTTCAACTTGAGTTTTCGCAAGGCTATTTAAGTTACACTTCTTAGATAATGATCAAAGTTATAGAATTTTTGATAATAATTTCGATTTTTCAAGTTAACGGGAAGTGAAATTTTGTTTAAAAAAAACTACTTTTTTGGAAGGCGCCATTTTTTTTAATTTTTACTTTTCTTACTTGCATTCATATGTAATTGTTTTTTTTTTTTTTTTTTTTTTTTTTTTTTTTTTTTTTTTTTTTTTAAATTTTTTTGTTTTTTTTTTTAAATAATTTTAAGCCAAAAAATCTTCGTCACCGCCAGACACATTTTGTCGGAAGTCCGCCTGGAGCTCGACTGTATGCGCAAGCTAAACCATTTTTAGAATGTATTATTAAAATCCGCAAATGTATTAAACTATATAAGTCCCCATTAATTATTAAGTAATTTTACTTCTCTTCGTCGCTTTAGTTTTCTGCAAAAAATTATGACAAAAATCCGTTTTTTCTGCAAGTGGACATAATCTCTTGAAGTAGCAGAATATTATTAAATGTTAATTATTGCGACAAAATCCGTTTTTTCTGCAAGTGGACATAATCTCTTGAAGTAGCAGAATATTATTAAATGTTAATTATTGCGACATGTTGTTATAATCACCACTACTACATTACATTACTTTATCCACCACACCGATCACTTGTACACTAATATATCTTCAAGGCTCATTCAGGCGACTAAATAATAAGTGCCGTAGCGACCATAATTACTTCATATTCATGCCTCGTTACACGAAGTAGCAACTGTAATCGTTAAGTTAGGCGCTGCAATCAACATTTTCAATAAATCACGTTTCAAAGTGATTTTTAATACACTTTCATTGTGGGTTTGCAGCTTTCATTACATTTCCACTGTCATTTGGCGACGCGCAAATGGCCAAGTGTGAAAATTTCAAGGGACCACAGATGGCCAAATCGAAAAAGGCCAGACAAATGTGCGTATGCATGCATGGTATATACAAAAAATACACACACACACAAGAGCAAACGCCAGTTTTATGAGCTATTTAGSAGATATGTCTAGAGGTATGAAGCCGCTTGAAGCAGCACGGCTGCGAGACTCGGCGGCGCGGCAGCAGCCCACACAAGGCATAAATGCTGGCCGGCATATGCGAACAAAGAAATTAATAATATTTATTATATGTATGTATATGTGAATGAATRTTGGTTTAAATATTAAGGCATATATGTAGTGATTTGCTTGCATGTCGCCCGCTAAGACACTCACAATAAAGAATTGCTTTCTGACAAGAACTTAGACAATATGCGCGACAGCTGACGACGTGTATTCTGCTTTTAATGACACTATAATTAATATATGCTATACATATATGCATAAAATTGTTGTTGTGTTGTGGTGTTGTTTTCATTTTCATATAATTGCTTAGTTAATAATGCATTTGTTTTTGTCTACGAGCGCAACACTTTTCCTGTCTCGTCACCTTGCCAGCGCATTACGTCAATGCGTTTCAAAGAAATCAAAAGAGATTTTTATTAATCTCAGGCTGYTATGCTTGTAATCGTAGAACCTTCATAATCATAGTGCAAAATAAATTGCATACTAATGCTTACAGAATGTGGCTGCAGTTTATGCAAAATATGTCAGTCATGAGTCATAGGCATACTATAAAGACATTCGCAAGTCATCTGCGGCCTGCTTTGGCAAAAGTCGCGTGATTATTGMAATTTAATAAAGTGAAGTGTAATGTATGATATTTGTCAACAATTGTCAACAATGAATTAATGTAAGTATTTCACAATCAATGAAAGTAATGAATGCATGCTTGAAGGCGAAAAAATGACAGATTGAAAGGAAAATTCATACTATACTGAATATTCATATAAAGGAAAAAGGTAAGCACTTTGAATCATGKGTAGCTTCCCAGTTTACACGGAAACTGCTTATGATTGAATGATTTATCTATTGCCATAGATAAATAAAGTGTGAATATCAGTGAAGTGTTTAAATTTGCACAAAAATATATTTAAGTGCATTTCACTTCCTGCAACGGGTTAAAATACTTATGGCATACATATACTCAGCGCAGGCGGAAGTAAATGTCTATAATTATATAAAAAATACATTGCATACATATGTATATATGCCTACACCTGCATGACCCGTTACTACTTGCTTTGTTCACAGCTGTTTGCTATTACTCTTTTTCAACAAATTGACAGATTTTGACAGCTGCCAATCAGCTCATTCACTTTTCTTGCGTATTGTCCATGCAGCAAGTTTTTTTTTCTTTATGTGCTTTCAAATTGATGCATTAAAATGTATGATGCCGTGGGTTTCCGGTGAAAATTTGATTACAAAAGCAGGTGTCAGTTGCTGTACAATGGATTTCTAAGTATCATAAAGGATATATGGTTCAATTTATCTTTTTCATTTTACAATTTGCTATTAAAAACTGATGAAAGATTAATGATAATGCATAGTTTAGCACACAAAGAGGCATGTAAGTGGAATTTTAAAGAGTAGGTGTGTGCATAAAAGCTTGAGGGTTCAGTTGTTGTTATGAGAAATATGACATGAACATATTTTAACTTAAGGGTATTGGGTGGGTATTTATAATCGTCAGCTAAAATGCAAAATAACGTAACAGCACTTTGCATAAGGAAAAACGTTATAATAACACCACTCATATTGAAATAAATTCTTACTATCGGTTATCAGATGGTTATATTTTGGGTTATAAAAGGGTTATATATATGTATATTTTCATTATATCTGGCTTTGCATTTTAGCTGACGATATACACCTTTTTCCTTTTTA